CCAAACACGGGAACCACAGGAAGTGTGAAAGACAAGCCAAACATTCAATCAGAACTCAGAGGTCCCGAGTTGACTCAAGATTTGCATAGTGAATAAATCCCCCGCAGGTATTAGACGCGGGAGAGACTGAAATAGGGAGGGAAAATCCTTTTAATCTTAAAATCCTAAGCGTCCCTCTGGCCTCCCTCCCGTCCTCTTTCGGCTGCCTGTTCCACTACTTCTCACGGGGATTAACTCCATTATTAAGCCTCTGTTCCAACTGGAAAAAGCGGTTATTGGCTTTCTTTGTGAGCTTGTGTTTATGTGTTTGGCTGGTGGAATTTTTGTTGTGTGTGGTTTTGTGTGTATGTGCTCAGTTATTTGTGCTCAAAGGATTGAGCAGTTAGCTCTTGAACCCCGGCCTTTATCAGTTGTCTAATGTATTGTTTCTTACTTATTATTCTATATCATATCTGCAATATATATTACGCACACACTTTTTGTCTCTGTTGTCATTATATCAACACATGACTTGATAATGTTGACCAAACCACACATTAGAAAGTGAAGGGACGACGACGTTTCGGTCCGTCCTGGACCATTCTCAAGTCGATTGTGTTATAGTCGACTGGTCCAGGACGGACCGAAACGTCGTCATTTCTTAATCTTCTGGTGTGTGGTTTAGTCAGCATGTCTTCAACCACGTTATTGGGACTCATCGTTTCCATAACTATCCTTAGTTTTCATTATAACTATTCTCTTGCCCCTGTCGTCGCCTCTCTGTCTCTCACACTCGCTTCTTCCTCCTCCTTCCTTTTCTCCACCCACTATCGCTTCCTCCTCCTTCTATCTATCTGCTTTCTCTCACTTTCTCCGCTATTCCTATTAGCTCTTCTCAAAGTCGCAAGCTTCCTTTCTCGCCTTTTTTGCCTGTCACCTCATGCCTGTCACCCAAGGTCCCTGGCATCTCCCTCGACTGTCACCTAAGGTCTCTGGCACCTCCCCCGACTGTCACCTAAGGTCCCTGGAACCTCCCCTGACTGTCACCTAAGGTCCCTGGACTCTCCCCCGACTGTCACCTAAGGTCCCTGGAACCTCCCCCGACTGTCACCTAAGGTCCCTGGCCTCTCCCCCGACTGTCACCTAAGGTCCCAGGCACCTCCCCCCGACTGTCACCTAAGGTCCCTGGAACCTCCCCTGACTGTCACCCAAGGTCCCTGGCCTCTCCCCCGACTGTCACCTAAGGTCCCTGGCCTCTCCCCCGACTGTCACCCAAGGTCCCTGGCACCTCCCCTGACTGCCACCCAAGGTCCCTGGCCTCTCCCCCAACTGTCACCCAAGGTCCCAGGCACCTCCCCTGTCACCTAAGGTCCCTGGCCCCTGGTCCCTCTCCCCTGACTATCACCTAACCCCGGTCACTCGTTCCAGACGTCTGTTCCAGCCACTTGTGTTGCCCACATATTTATGCTTCACGCAGTTAATAACCAGTAAACTTCTGCAGCCTCCAACTTGCATAAACTTAATTTTCGGGTCTCTAACTTTGAACTCCACAGCGGAAAGCCCGTCAAGTTTCACCCCTCGTGTGTGTGTGTGTGTGTGGGGGGTGGGGGGTGGGGGGGGGGTGGGGGGGGGTCAATTTTGTTCCTTTTTTTCTAATTAAATAATTGATATGAACCCAAATGTTATTTTCCATCCCTTTTGTGTTCCTGTGTTTTATGTTTCTTAATTTTTCAATGGATCCCCTCCCTAACCCTCCCTCTCTCTCTCTCTCCCCCCTCCCTCCCTCCCTCTCTCTCTCTCCCCCCCCCCTCCCTCCCTCCCTCCCTCTCTCTCTCTCTCTCCAGTTAGAAAACGAGAATATTGGATGGCGAACGTGAGAATAAAATGCATTACACGATTTTTGAGAAGAATAGGAAAACCGCAAATTCATGGATTAATAACCGGTTGGGAACGTCATGAGCAGCTGTCAGTCAATCTACGTCAGCCATTTTTAAATGCTCTACAATGTTTACGTTCGACCATCTGCGGTGGGCAGACTTCTGATGGCGCAGACTGAAAAAAAAAAGTTGGACAGGCATTTATAGCCGCGTTTGAAGTTGTCGGAATGATCTGAAACTGTATTCGTTGCCTCTATACCGATGAGGGAATATTTTCCTCTTCTCTGTTTAAGGTGGTATTATATAATAACGTACAGTTTTTTAATATATTAATGCTTCTTTAATGCCAATATCAATAAACTTTTGGGTTTGCTCGTTTTCCATTGTCATTTAATATTATATCAATGTTTAATGGATATTATTGATCAGAATTATATGGCCTGACTGTATCATTTGACTTTGATGCTGTATTCGTGTAGTTTAATTTATATGTGTTCATTTTAATTTTACTGTACTCACATATTACTCACATATTCAGTATTATATAACTGTTTTCATAATTATATTCCGCGACGGTTTCCAATTTCATGGTAGGAGGCGAAGCCTTGATTCAAGCGCTTTATTGCTATTAATTGCAATAAGGCGCTATTTTTAAAAGATTGCTTCTTATTGCAAAAAGGAACAATAATTTTTGTGTATGTGTTAAGCAGTCCTTCAGCCGAGTATAACCGCAGTGCATTAATTAACGTAAGAACGCACATATATACATACACGCATACACACAATACATACACGCGCGCACACACACACACACACACACACACACACACACACACACACACACACACGTAACACGAGCGTACCCAGACACGATAACCTGATAATTATGTACGAATAAACACGGAAAAATATCATTTTGAGTGCTTGCTTTATTATTTTCCTCTCCTGTTTTAAAGTGTTTCTTCTTCACAATCATCTTTCTGTTACCTCCTCCATCCACTTCTGAATATCTTTTATTTCCTTTACTTCTTCGATGTGTACTTCACCTTCTCTACTTCGTTTTCCTCTTTTATTGAATCTCTTCTTCTTCCTCCTGTGCTCCTTCGCCCCTTTTCAACTTTTTCTTTAGTTCTTCTGCTTCTTCTCAAGTGAATCCTTAATCAAATCTTCATTTAGCAAACATTACATGGAAGACAAAACAACACTGTGGATCAACCCGCTTCTCAACTAGTAGGTCGCATTCTTTACGTTATGATAACCAACGATAGAACCAATGAAAAGTAACGTCCTACGAATATCTACGTTTTCTATCCTTCGGACTCTATAGGTTAGGTGGGTTGCTTGGGGTAGTAAGTTTCTGGTCACGTTCGAACGGTGTATTATTAGTGGTAAATCAAGAGAACGGGTTGACTACTTATCCATGACAACAACGATTAAAATGGTCAATAAAGACGCAGTCTCCGTGGTGTAGTGGTAAGACACTCGCCTGGCGTTCCGCGAGCGCTATGTCATGGGTTCGTATCCTGGCCGGGGAGGATTTACTGGGCGCAATTCCTTAACTGTAGCCTCTGTTTAACGCAACAGTAAAATGTGTACTTGGATGATAAAACGATTCTTCGCGGCAGGGGATCGTATTCCAGGGACCATAGGATTAAGGACTTGCCCGAAACGCTACGCGTACTAGTGGCTGTACAAGAATGTAACAACTCTTGTATATATCTCAAAAAAAAAAAAAAAAAAAAAAAAAAAAAAAAAAAAAAAAAAAAAAAAAAAAAAAAAAAAAAAAAAAAAAAAAAAAAAAAAAAAAATATTATTGTAATAAAATAAACAAAACTATTGGTATTACGTTACTTTTAATAATGCATGAACAAATACCATGCGCGTTATTGCTGTGCTGTTGCCTTCATGGTTATTGTCAGTTTCTGGTCCAAATAATGGCGTTGTTGAGGGCGGTCGTTAACGTGGTCATTAGAAGCGAACTTAGTGGTTATGGCTCCTTGTGCCGTTCTGAAGGACCCCTCCCACCGTTGTGCCTCCCTCAGGGCTCAGCCTTCACCTGTGAGTCCTCAAAAGTGGCCTAAATGTTTATTCTATTTGCACTCGACTGACAACCTGTCCTCGGGCTAGGCTCCTTAAAGAGGCGGCCATCTCCCAAGACGCATTCATCAACTTTACTGTTAACTTGAGGTTATGTTGAGATGATTTCGGGGCTTAGCGTCCCCGCGGCCCGGTCCTCGACCAGGCCTTCTTTTTGTTAGACATCCCCCGGGAAGCAGCCCGTAGCAGCTGTCTAACTCCCAGGTATCTATTTACTGTTAGGTAACAGAGATCATCAGGGTGAAAGAAACATTTTGCCCTTTTGTCTCCGCCTCCACCGGGGATTGAACCCGGAACTTCAGGACTACGAATCCGAAGCGCTGTCCATTCAGCTGTCAGGCACCTGTGTATTAAAATATATTTGGTCTCAAATTTTAGTTAATATTATTGCATACTAAAGTTCTACGAATGGTTAGACGTAGGTTAGGTTAGGTGTTTTGGTTCTGTTGGTGATTATTCAACCCGTCCTCAGACCATGTTCATTCCATCCAGCGGTCGACCCCAAAGAAGCATTCATCTATTTTAACATGATGTTCATTCAAAACAGGAATTTTATCAAATATAAATTAATATTATTTTACATTATATTGTCCATATTGTATTGTACATATTTAGGCACTGGTTAGGTTAGCTGTTTAGGTTCTGTTGGAGATTATCTTTATTTGTAGTACGTGGGTGAAGCATTTACAGCGTTGTTATTCGAACAAAAGTCGTCAGTGAAGCATTTGTTCTGAAAGTGCTCGAACGTCAATCAGCCCGTCCTCATAAACAAAAACCCAAAGACCATTCCATGCACCCGCCAAACCCCCAATTTATGAATGAAAAACAGTTTATACACGACTCACAACTGTTGACGTTCGAACACTTCTCATACAAGTGCTTCACTGACGACTTTTGTTCGAACCACAACGTTGTAAATGCTTCACCCACGTACTACAAAAACAAATAATCGCCAACAGAACCTAAACACCTAATATACCCTACCCAATGCCTAAATATACTTAATATGTTAATATATAAAAATTATTAATTTATATTTGAGAAAATTCATATTTTGAGTGAACATCCCTTGCGTTCTCTATCACTTTCAGAAGCTGGACCTCGCTCGCGTTCTCTACCGCTTCCAGAAGCTGGTCCTCTCTTGCGTCCTCTACCACTTCCAGAGGCTGGTCCTCGCTCGCGTTCTCTACCACTTCCAGAAGCTGGTCCTCTCTTGCGTCCTCTACCACTTCTAGAGGCTGGTCCTTGCTTGCGTTCTCTACCACTTCCAGAGGCTGGTCCTCTCTTGCGTTCTCTACCACTTCCAGAGGCTGGTCCTCCATTGCGTTCTCTACCACATCCAGAGGCTGGTCCTCGCTTGCGTTCTCTACCACTTCCAGAGGCTGGTCCTCCCTTGCATTCTCTTCCACTTCCAGATGCAGGTCTGCACCTCTGGGCTGTATTCCAGTGCCTGAAGGCACTTATAATGTAAACTTTGGTCGTGGCTTCAACTTAACTGTGTATCAAATGAGACCGCAAAGCCTGCTTCCGCCAGTTACTTACTCCTTAAACGTAACAGTTCACAGAGCTGGTGCTTTTAGCTTAATTAGCTCAACAGTGCGCTAATTACTAAATAAGACGGGGTCATTCCAGGGCCACCCAGCCATTGATGCAGTTAAGACCGGCTCAAATATGAGGGTCAATAACTCGCACTATACGTGGGTTAATAGACCATAACGTCAAATGTTGCTGGTTTAATGATATTAATAGCACTGTAATGTTGATGTTTTCATTTAGTGCATCGGCATATGCTTTCAAAAGCATCAAATTTGAAGTGGTTTTTATTTAGAAGAAACGTTGTAACCTTGGCAGCCCGTCTAAATTCGGAAAACAGGCTTGTAGTTCAGTGCCTCTTGCCTGTCACCCTATGATTGTACCTTAGTGAAAATGTGTGCAGCTGTGCGTGTTTGTACCCTAGTAAGTGTGTGCAACTATGCGTGTGTTCCTCGGTGTGTGCATACCTAAACGTGTGTGTACTTGAGTGTGCGTGTTTCCAAGTGTAGGAGTACACGAGTGGGGTTAACATCCGAGGGTCGACATGCACTCTAAGCGTCGATAGAATTCACCCTGAAATCACTCTGTCGATCAGAGGAAACTTTATCGCTCAGCAGTTCGTTACAGAGACAAATGATGCGTCAGAGTTGCCACAGAATTATCAGTGGGAATAGATCCACCAACGGAACCTTGAGCTTCAATAGCTTTCAATGTAGTTGATTCGAATGTGAAATTTGTTGTGTTAACTGCTACCTGCGTTAACAGTGTGTTCTTTACCACATTGAAATCACATTAGAAATCAAAGACAAAGCACAAAGACATTAGCGTGATGTATCGAGGAGAAAATCACCGAGTCATGAGATTCGAACCCATGCACTGGGTAGTCTCAGGGAAACTTTTGCCTGAGAGAACCCATTGCATAGGTTCGAATCTTCCTGGTGTCTCCTACGGATTTTCTCCATGTGTCGTTACTTTAAGTTTTGTTGTCATTAGGTGTCGTTAACTATGAGTCTACTATGTGCCGTCACCATTATGTGTAATTACCTTTATGTATCATCGATAAAGTGTTCATTGTTGCTTTCAAAATGTCTGTCAGTACGCGTCGCTGCCAGAAAGTGTTGTCAGTTTCGTTCCAGTTGTTGACCTTAGTCAACATAAAAACCGATTCGTCATTTACTAAATTCAAGAGTCTCTATCTTGAGGTTATCTTGAGATGATTTCGGGGCTTTTTAGTGTCCCCGCGGCCCGGTCCTCGACCAGGCCTCCACCCCCAGGAAGCAGCCCGTGACAGCTGACTAACACCCAGGTACCTATTTTACTGCTAGGTAACAGGGGCATAGGGTGAAAGAAACTCTGCCCATTGTTTCTCGCCGGCGCCTGGGATCGAACCCAGGACCACAGGATCACAAATCCAGCGTGCTGTCCGCTCGGCCGACCGGCTCCCCCAAATCCATTGTTTAATAAATATTCTGCTTTTCAATATAAGCAACAGGAGTGAGAGAAATTAATTTCTCCTGCACCACTCGACTCGCTCCAACAACATAATATCAACAATATTACCTTCACCACCACTACCATCGGCAACAACACCTGATACTTTTCTTCACCAACACCAGGCTCTCTGCTTCTCCACCACCAGACAATTAGTTCAACACCGCCAACATCTGACCTTCAACACCGCCAACACGTGACCTTTCCTTCATCAACACGTGACACTCATCCACTACCAACTCATCTCCAAACTCCAGTTCTCTTGAAATTCGCATCACGTATAAACTTCTGCTTCTTAAAGAGCTTTCCATTTACCAAATATTTCCGGACTTTTTTAATCACTCCGCCGGTCTCCAGTTCCCCCAACTCCCCCGTGCATACAACGCTCTCTGGAAAATAGCGAATATTGTATCGTCAAGAAAAGGGTTAGTCATAAGACCATACCTCAGACCTGTATCCCCGAGATGCAATCTTTGTCAAATTACTATATACGAAAAGGAGAATTATTGCAGAGCATTTCTCTTGAACGTGGACAAATTACAGGAGAGAGAGGATTGAGTAAACGATATCTGCTTAAACTGACATTATTGGTAAATGGACTTCTTCAATCCCACAAGGAAGACAAGGAAGCTGCCAGTCAAAATTTTCAACTTTCAATAAATGAAACACACAGAGTGATCTACACAACTGTGGCTGACCAGACAAACTTAGCCACGCGTGAGAGGAAATACCAAGATGTGGACTAGTCAAACACAGGAAGAGAATGGAATTTTGTAACAAAGAATCAACATAGGGTCATAGGTCACTACTGCTTAATTAAACTAATAACAATGAATGACAGGGTGACAAAGATTAGAAAGGAAATAGAGGGAAAGGGAGACTAAATTCCAAAACAAGTAGGAAGTGTTTGATACTACTCCACTGGTATAAGCTGGGTCAAATTTCCCCCATTAGAGACATTTATACACACTGGAGAAGTAGATATGATGACCAAAACCAAAGTGGGTAAAATCATAGATAAAAATATTGTCTGTGAGACAGAAGAATCCGAATAAGAATCCACAATCCACAAAGGTACGTTCTAGGATTTACCATTTATGATTAATGCAAATGAAAAAGTAATGGAGAAGTTAATGAAGCGAATATGGACAGATGAGAGTGAACTACTGTTGCAGGTGATCAAGACGTCAGCTGATGGACAACCAACTTTAACCAAATGTTGAGAAACGCGACAGACAGCCTTAAACTTAATCAGTATCAATCGTATGTTTATCATACAGTGGAGGCAATGATGTAGTCAACTACTGGAATATAGTATTTAAATCTTAATATTTTGCTGATAACTTTGTGATAGAAACATGCTTCTACAACACATATCCCTCCCCCTTCCACGATATCCACCCTTTACCCTTTCCACACTACCCATCCTTTTCCCCTTCCATAACACACTTTGGCTGTCCTTTCCATTCTCCCACTATTACCACTATTACTAATGGTCAACTTTAATGAAGGCCCAGATCCAAAACCACTGGATCCTGATCATCACGGAACCTCAATTCCATGGGCTCTCAGCCCCACAAACCCTAAGCCTTAACAAGCCTCAAAGTCTTACAGACCTCAAGTCACACAGAACTCAGCCCTACGGACCCCGAAGCCCACCGATAAACTGGGCACATGCCGCCCATAAATCTGTATCAGTCTGAAACGGGCCAATTAACTTTAGCAAACCAAACACAACCCATAGGGAGCATCGTGTAGTCAGATCCAATTGGGATTAGTTATGTGCGCGAACTGGGAGCTCCCTGCGCCAGGCCGAAGCTGGAACACCCAGTCACATCCCGCTGATTGCTGCTGCAGTTGCCATGGCGTCTTTCTTTCTCCGATGTCTGTCAGGGTAGTAGAGCTAGAGTCTCGGTAATAGAGCCTCGGTAGATATTATTAGAGCTCGAGTCAGAGAAATAGAAGCTGGAACATAGGCAGTAGAGCGTTGAGAGGAGTAAACTCAATGGGTTTCTCAGAGAGTGAGGTGCTGGGGGGTAAATTAGTGGGTAATCATTAATCATCTTGAATTACTACCGTGTCCGCACAGCGGCGAGGATATAATGTTTACACCGAGAACCACCGTGGCTATTACTGCAGACCGGAGGGAATGAGATGAGAGAAAATAAAGGCATATGAAAGGTTATCACACTTGGTAATAAAGCTCACCCTCTTTTGCATGTCTCTACCCTCATCATTCTTTTTTCCCCCTCTTCTTCCATTATTCTTTCTTTCTTAGACACATAAATAATGAAAGTGATAGTATCAACTTCAGCGTCGACGGGAAACCTATCTTCAGAAACTACTTCGTTCACTTTCACTCTCGATTACTCGACGAGACGAAGCATAGTGTAGCCTCCATATGCTTAAGATGAGTGCCAATTTATCACAGATTCCAGCCTAAACATTATATATCTTGTATTTTATAATGTAAAATTCAGAAAACGAACAAGAGAGATTTCCAACCGTAACACAACAAAACAGCTAACACCACTAACACCTGTAATAATGCCAATACAGCACAAAACATCCGCAGCACTCAGCACCTTCGTCAGCAGCAGCAACAAGGTCACGCTGGTAGAGCTATACTATACCCTTTAATAACTAACAAATTAGAATGTAGATATAAGAGAAAACATTCATTACAGTCAGATCTCATTACACTGGACGATCAACAACTGGAAAGGCAGGTTCCAGAGCTGGAGCTCGGCCCTGCTGTGCCAAATAGGACAAAACAAATAGATTACTAGACACACACACACACACACACACACACACACACACACACACACACACACACACACACACACACACACACAGGTAAACACAGCCTTGCCTTAACATACCCTTAGCTAGACATAAACACAGTCTAAAACAAACGAAATACCCTTTGCCACAAAGAAAGTTAACACCCATAAACTACCTCAACTATTAACAAATACAACGCCCAAAATCTGCCTCAAAGGAGTAAGACAAATACTCTTCGCTCCCTTCAACGGCTCAAATAATCCTAGAGGTCTCAGACTCATCAACAGAAATAAATACAACACCCTTATAGCTTCCCTTCAACTGCTAAAACACAAAATTCTTATCCTCCAGGTTCAAACAAAAGCAGCACGCCCAGCCTTCTTTGCCAGCTAAAACAACCCACACAAGTACAGGCGGTCCACAGCCTCTTTCCTCAGCTAAGGGGAGGCGATATCCTCCCACTAAAGACCCATTTCCTTAGGTATGCACTCGGGCTAACTTCCTGGACTAGCAGCAGTTCTTTGGGAAATGAACTTGGGTGGAAAATAGAAATGTCTTCGTCAATGTGTAGGAAATGAGTAGGGGTCGTCTGTTGGAGCATGGGAGAGGTATTAGAGAGGTAGAGGTACTGTTTGAATGTATGGGAGAGCTATGGAAAAAGTGGGAGGTGCTGTTTGGAGATGTAGTAGTTACTATAATGGATTGAGATAGTGTGGATATATGGGAGAGGAAGAATGGAAGGAATACCAATCGTGTAGATGGGAAGTTTATTGAGAAATAAGTATGGGAAAATGGAATGGTTAGAGATAATGGAGGCTGGCGAAATAGGAGGGATGGGTGAAGGGAGAAGTTGGCAGGGAGAGGGAGGCAGTGGGAAGGAAATGAGAGGGCGGTAGGATGAAGGAAACTGAATAATGGAGGAAGAGAGAGATTCGAAAAACTGGAAAGAATTCGTAAGTGATGAGAGTGAAGCAAGAACTAAGGACTAATAAACATACATGCCAATGTGGTTTAACAGAAGTGGGGGTCCCGTAGTGCAGTGGTCAGCGCAGTCTGTGTACAATCGAAAAGTTTTCTTTCATCTGATGTCAATATTCACCTACCAGTAAATAGGATCCTGGTAGATAAGCAGCTGTAGTGGGTTGCAATCTGGGGAAGGTCAGTCGATGGTCTATTGATATCTCGATAAGCCTAACAGGTTTCCTTTCCCCGACACACGATATTGGAAAACAGAAACCAAAAGTCACTTCTGATGTTCTCGAGAACCGGTTCACTTGATTTGCAACTCCATACAAATTCAGCCTCTTAACCGAACTAGAAACGCACATACCCAAGCAACCCACCTAACCTATCAGTTCAATGCATACAAAAGTAGATATATATATATGAGCCATTATTTTCAAAGGAGGTTGCTTACGGGCTATTCATGCCCGTGCCACCTTTTAGGTGGCTTAATCTTTATCAAACAAAGAAGGTTGCATTTGTAACATTGGTTGTCATAACGTAAATAACGCGACCTATTAATTGAGAGGATGGGTAAAAAGACGGAACGAAGGAGTCATCACTATTATGTTTCAAAAGTCTTCATCTATAGCTGTGGTGAATTTTTATTTTGTATATAAAAGAACCATGATAATCACCGGTCAAGATTATATACCATTTTCATCTACACAAATATCTTTATAATTTCAGGGCCGCAAATATCTTCCATTAAGTCATTAACGAAAATGTCAGCACATTTCCTATTCACTTTTGAAATCGCGTTTCTCACTAATGTAAATTTCCCCGCAATTAATACCTATGTTTACATTTTTAACGTCTAACTCTAAGTCAAGAGAAACATTTGTAATAATTAATGTCGAGATGAAATCTGCAGGAATTAAATGAGATTTTCAGTAATTAACTATGACTGGATTTGTTGTTTCTTGTGATATAAACCAGTACGTTTGAACTTTATATATATATATATATATATATATATATATATATATATATATATATATATATATATATATATATATATATAATATACATATTATATACATTACATTATATACAAGATTCGTAAAGTATTATATTAAAAATTAAATGATCAAACATACAAATTCGAAATATGCATTCGTATAGATACAAGAATTTATACACATATAACCTTAATTTCAGCCAAAAATGAAAAAGAAATTGAGGGCTTCATCCATTCTCGTAATTTTTTTCCTCGTTCCCAAGATGATATCGAATTCCTAGCGAGATTCCAGTCTCTCTTCACAATTCCAAGACAGTGCTGCAGCTTTTGCTACGGCTTCCACAGTGCACACGCACACACACACACACACACACACACACACACACACACACACACACACACACACAGAGGAAACTCACAAACACAGGTAATTTTATTACTCGTCAGAAGTTGAACAAGTGGCTGCTAATTTCCTGTTTTGCAGAAACCATCGACAAAGCAGACCAGTACTTCCTTAGACCTGAC